AACACCTTGGTTTTAGGACTTCTGATCCCCAGAACCATAAGGTGATTTGTGTTGTTTTAGGCTGATAAATCCATGGTGCTTATTGCAGCAGTAATAGAAATGAATACAGGACACCTGGAAACAACAGGAGGCTGGAAAGAGCTGGAACCAGAGCGAAACCCAGAGTCTGTGTCAGTTGGGCACCGAATCAGTTTTGTAACCAGCAGCGAGTCTAAACTTCTGGGTGCTTTGGTTTCTTCAACAAAATGATGACATTACCACCTCCTCTGCCTAATTTTTAACTTTTTTATGGAGGTAAAAATTATAGACATTCTTTGCGAGAATAATTCAGACTGGCATATTTCAACTACTGGGCAAAGAAAACATTTAGACATTTCCAGAACTTTCAACAAGGATTTGTAATGAGGGACTGAAAATGTTAAAACTTGTTTTAATGCACTCAGCAGACAAGCTGACCGACAAACGTTTTGTACGCAGGTCGAAATATTTGCAGTCTTCCATCTAAACATCTTTTCTTTCAAAGAGCAGAGTCGGAGTGTGATATTTTGTTTTGGGGAATGATTGCAAACAATTTTTTAAAACTTTTTTTCTTCCAAGAATAAACATGAAGGGCAAAACCTATAGACCACAAGGGCTGCCTCCCCATTTTAAAAAGGAAAGCAAAGTCTGGGACTTGGAGATGGCAATGTACTCCACTCCCCTTTTTAAAAAAAATTTTTTTCTTTAATGATCTTAGAGAGAGAGGAAGGGGGAGGGAGAGAGAAACATTGATGAGAGAGAATACCATTAGCTGCCTCCTTCATGCCCCCCACTGGGGATCTGGCCCACAACGTGGGCATGTGGCCTGACCAGGAATCGAACTGGTGACCTCTTAGTGCATGGGTTGGCGCTCAAGCACTGAGCCACACCGACTGGGCCATATTTTCCTTTCTTAACCGAGAAATCAGGTTCACAGGGATCTCAGTTTCCCCAGGTTCATCCAGTCCCAAGATATTTGAACACGTGTGAAAATGCTGCTCCACCTGCTGGATTTGACCGGCATAGCATAGGACCAGCTGGAGTCAGCACTGAAGAGGGAGCGTTGACATCATTGGCCAACTCAGGATGGGCAAGAAGGTGAAAAGATTCAACATCCAAAACCACTAAATTGAACATTTTAAGTGGGCGAACTGTATGGTATGTGAGGTATATCTCAACAAATATATATTTTTAAAGAAGGTGAAAAAATTATTCTACAAGGTGATCATGGCAATGGAATTTTTATTTTTCCTTAACACTTAGATTTTTCCCTAAATGATGGGACATGCTATTCAGTGAGGCCCCACAGCAAACAATAGCCTACAAAAACAAAATAGCTGTAGCCAGGGATGGGCTTATTATGTCCAAAGCATGATTTTAACCATTCAGGGCCCATATTGATATTTCAGTCCTTTCCTTGCTGAACCAGCTCTGTCCCCTCAGGACAATGCACCCCCACAGCACAACAACCTGTGTCATCCTCATTGTGGTGAAATCAATCCCTGGGTGTTCTCTCTAGGGTCCTTTTGGTTGACCAGGGCCTCTCATCACAATTATAACAAACCTCACAGCTGCCATTATAATTTACATTGTAACAATGTAAACAACAAACTCTTGCAAAGGAAGAAGAGAGGGAAAAGGAAATACATCACAGTGTCAGCCACAGCTGTTTTGATAGGATCATGAGTGATTTGCTTTTTAAAGAAAGTTGCAAGTTCTACATAAGTTGGCCCCATGCAGCTACCTCCTCATGTTCTTATCATTCTCTTGCTTTCCAAAGAGCCTTCGCATTGATGTCCAGATTTTATCCTCCACAAAGTTGAAGCATAAGTTACTACAAAGGCAAAAACCCTGGCAGGAAAAAGGTGCAAAACTGTGTGAAGAGCAAAAAGCATCACCCTGGCAGCTGGGACCCCTGGAGCTCAAGTGCCCGGCTACCAAGGAAGCAGTGACCCAGGACAAGCCACTTACACTGTCTGAGCATCTGTCACCACATCTGCAAAATAAAGGTTCCACCTACACAATCCAGAAAGCCCCCTTTCAGAAAGATCCAATAGTCTCACCTTTTAGGGATAGGATTCAGATCTCCTGGCTCCCGGTTTGTGGCATTTAAAATACACAGGATGGCCATCAGGTCTGGAAACATACACAAATACATAGTAATGATATTAAATAACAAGACAAAATTATCGTCTATGTTTCCAGACTTGCTGAGCACTTTGTACCAAAGAGCACATCCATCTTCTTCCATCAACTTCCCCACAGTGGTCTTAAGAGCTTCGGGCCCAACAGCAGGAAGGGAAGTGGGGGAGGTGGGGGAGGGGGTACTGAGTTGTAGGAGTGGCCACTGAGACCCAGCCAGATCTACTCAACACTTACCTGACAGATGGACTGTCACTCAGCTTGCACCTGCAGCCAGGAACGACACTCCAAGTCACCGGACGCCAAACAACGGGACACGCCACTCAGGACAGCGCTGCAGCAAAGGACACTCCACCAAAACAAGGGAACGGTCGTCCAACAAGGCTCTGCAGAAAGGAAGCCTCGGCGGAGCAAGGCCTTCAGCAAAGAAGGAAACACCAACTGTGTAATACGGCCTTTTATCAACTTTGGGAACAGGCGTGAGAGATGGTAAAGCAATTGCAAGCTGAGGGCTGGCCTATGCTGCCCACGCAGACGGAACTGAGCATGCGCAACACGCTAATGACCTGCAGCTGCTCAGCCAAGCCCCTGAGCCGCTCTGCCCCTCCCCGAGCCCCACCTGCAGTGCTGAGGGCCTGAGCACCTGGAGGCAGGAGAGGTCAACTCCCAGGTACCTGAAGTAAACCAGGCCAATGTCTCTGATGAGAAGCAGCTGTTTTCTGGGGTGGTTAATACAGGGATACTGAATACACAGCAGTGTTCAGCTCCCAAAAGGCTCCGTGGAGACGAGCATCTAGGTGCATGGCGAGGCCTCCGCTCGGATTTCATTCTCCAGGGAAGCCTCTGCCTGGCTTCCCCACCTACTCTGAGTTTGCTCCAGGTGCCCCTCATCCAGGATCAGCAGCCAGGACTCTTGTAGCATTGTCGTTGAACTCTCTTGGTTGGTCATCTCTCCAACTAGACTGTAGGTCCTCGAGGAAATGGAGCCTCTAGTGCACTGGGTTCCCAGGGGCTGGCACCGTACCTGGCCCAGAGGAGGAAGGGGCTCCGAGCTTTGTATTCCGTGCCAAGGGGCTCAACATATGCTTGTTGAGCGGAAATCTACCAGCTTCACAATTGCAGCGCTGTAGCCCACAGCTTCCTTGGTGGGGCAGGAGAGCTGACTGTTGATGGAAACCAACTCTGGGGGCAGACCCACGGGGGTCCCTCTCCCAACTCCATCATCTACTAGCTGTGTGACCTTCAGACTCACAGGCAAGTTACGCACCTCTGTAAGCCTTGATGTCGTTGTCTTTGGAAGGAGCAGTAATAGCACCCTCTGCAATTGTGAAAATTCAGTGCATGGAACACTTAGCATGGGGGTGGGCACTTAGACCTCACTCAATATGATTGTTAGGACAGACATTCCTCTTTGTATTGCGCTCCACAGAAGTTCCATTTTTTACAAATCAAAATCAAGACCGTCCATCAGCAAATTGTGGTACTTTCTTGCAGTGGCCTGGAACCGAACTCCATACATCTCCCAGGTATGCCTGTATCATTCACCCATCCCTGGAACTGAGCTATAGGGTAAGCTTTGCCCAGACCCAGTAAGTGGATCACGCTTGGTTCTGCTTTTATCAGAAGCCATGTAAACACTTGGCCACCAATTTGCTTGGTCTGGGTTCTTTAAAAGGTTAAGCTGGCTGAGGTTCCCTTGCAATTCAATTGTTTAAAAAATGTCTATGGGCCTGGCTGGTGTGGCTTAGTGGTTGAGCATCCACCCCTGCACCAAGAGGTTGCTGGTTCAATTCCCGGTCAGGGCACATGCCCAGGTTGTGGACCAAATCCCCAGTGGGGGGCATGCAGGAGGCGGCCAGTCGATGTTCTCTCATCGTTGTTTCCCTCTCTCTCTCCCTCTCCCTTCCTCTCTCTCTAAAATCAATAAAGAAAAAAAAATTTTTTAATGTCTATGGCTCAGATTTTCTGTTTTTATTAATACTTCTGAGTTTGCGGGAGCTACCTCTGGGCATCATCACTTTGGGTGGTGTCGCTCTCAGGAAAGACAGCCTGGGACCCAGCTGAGGCCTTTGGGGTGGCGGCTAGGTTCTCAGCACATGTAGAGACCCACTGTCAAGCCAGGGCAAACAGGGCTCAGAGGCAGCACATTCTGAGTCCCAGCATTCTGTCTCCCTTTGTCCCTGCAGCCCTCATCTGTCCTTCCTTCCTGCCTGGCGCTGTCCTTTGGCTTGGTCACAATCTCTCCCTGGTCCTGTCATTGTTTCAATCTCAGTCTCAGAAGAGAATTATCCCTCCACTGAAGGATGCTCAGCCTTCTAAGAGCAAAGAAATCTTCTCTGCCCTGCGCCAGATCCGCTGGACCAAGCTATCCGGGTAATTCTGGTGCATGCTTTCGTTTCGAGGACTCGGTAGTTCAGATGTCGTGTTGACGGTATTAAACTGGTCAAGATTTGAGAAACAGCTGGTTGAAAATAATTGCCTGCACTGGCTCTAGTGCCCTCCTGCCCAGGAACCTATCCCACTTGCATGTATGTTCTCCTCATTTATCATTTATGGGTGGATTGGGATTTTTTTCTCCATGGGGCTGACACTTTGATATTAGACTTGCTAATGAGCAGCGACCATGCACCCTGCTGCCCGCCCTTCAGGCAGTCAACCTACATTCCATGCAGCACAGAAGAGCTTAGCAGTCAACCTTCTTCCACATCCTGCCCTCAGAAACTAAGCAGGGGGAGGGTCCAGAGGTGTCATTTGACACTGACGACAGCATATTTATTTCCTATGCAGAGGAGCCAAGGCAGAGAGACACAAAGCAGCTAGCTTCTGTAAGAAGGCGCTGGATGGCAAAGGTGATGCTGGCAGCCGCCTCTGCAGACTCCAACTCCAGCACCATGAACGTGTCCTTTGCACACCTCCACTTTGCCGGAGGGTACCTGCCCTCTGACTCCAAGGACTGGAGGACCGTAGTCCCGGCTCTCCTGGTGGCTGTCTGCCTGGTGGGCTTCGTGGGGAACCTGTGTGTGATTGGCATCCTCCTTCACAGTGCTTGGAAAGGAAAGCCATCCCTGATCCACTCCATGATTCTGAATCTCAGCCTGGCGGATCTCTCTCTCCTGCTGTTTTCTGCGCCTGTCCGAGCTGCAGCGTACTCCAGAGGTGTTTGGGATCTAGGCTGGTTTGTCTGCAAGTCCTCTGACTGGTTCGTCCACACGTGCATGGCAGCCAAGAGCCTGACCATCGTTGCAGTGGCCAAAGTATGCTTCATGTATGCAAGCGACCCAGCCAAGCAAGTGAGTATCCACAGCTGCACCATCTGGTCAGTGCTGGTGGCCATCTGGGCTGTGGCTAGCCTGCTTCCCCTGCCAGAATGCCTCTTCACCACCACCAGGCTCCACGCGGGAGTGGAAATGTGCCTCGTGGATGTACCTGCTGCAGCCAAGGTGTTCCTGTCCGTGTTTGGTAAGCTCTACCCTCTCCTGGTATTTTTCCTCCCGTTACTCTTGGCCAGCTTTTATTTCTGGAGAGCTTACGGCCGATGTCAAAAACGAGGAACTAAGACTCAAAATCTTAGAAACCAGATGCGCTCAAAGCAACTCACGGTGATGTTGCTGAGCATTGCCATCACCTCGGCTGTCCTGTGGCTCCCTGCGTGGATAGCTTGGCTGTGGGTATGGCACCCGAAGGCTGGAGGCGCAGCCCCACCACAGGGTTTTATAGCCCTGTCTCAAGTCCTGATGTTTTCCATCTCTTCAGCAAATCCTCTCATTTTCCTAGTGATGTCAGGGGAGTTCAAGGAAGGCGTGAAAGGCTTATGGAAATGGATGATAACCAAAAGGCATGCAGCTGCCTCAGGGGCTCAGGAATCACCAGCTGGTAACTCAGAGGTCCTTCCTGACAATGTTCCCTCTCCAGAGTCCCCAGTATCCATACCAGAGAAAGAGAAAACTGGCTCTCCCTCCTCCAGAAAAGAGAAAACTGAGAAGGCAGAGATTCCCATCCTCCCCGATGTAGAGCAGTTTTGGCACGAGAGGGACACAAACCCTAATGTGCAAGACAATGACCCTATTCCCTGGGAACATGAAGATCAAGAGACTGTGATACATGACTAAGTTTCAAAGCAAAACAAATTGTGATTATTGTATTTACTTGTCCTGCTGCTTATCAGTGTGGCTGACTTTACCATATAAAACATGATAAACTCATTAACTTTAGAAATGACAGAATTTGCTTCACAGTCTGCATTTTCAAAATGTGCAATGTGGGAAGTAGAACACCATGTGAGGAGCAGTGATTATGTTTCAGAATTAAAGCCTGGCTGCCCAGAGAATGGGCTGCAAGGTGTTGCTACAAGTGACTGGGAAGCCCAGCTATATTGTCTTTGCTCCCAGTGGCCACACTGGCTTCTCTTCAGGACCTGCCCTGTACCGGCTGGAGTGAAGCTTATCTGTCCAAAGATGAACCCCCTTTCCCTTTAGTTTCTCGAGCCGGCTTGGCCCTAACTTCACCCATGAAACTTTATTTCACTTAACCAAAACTCAAAATCGATGTTCACATACTGAGATTTTGTCTTTAACATACTAACGAGGAATAACTTCCGTTACCTTCATTTGCTTAAAGTAAATTTATTCGATAAAAATCTGTACAGAAATTCTAAGACTGAAGGTTGCAGAATAAGGAACTGCACCTTATTCCAATTCTAGGCTAACTTCAAATCATAGCTTATTTGGGCCAATTTTAAGTAAATTCAAACTTCATCTTTTTAACGCCACCTCAGTGAGTCTTCAGTTTCTAAGTCTGGATTTTAGCAGCCCAGCATGACACTCTATATTCTGATATGGAGAACTTAAAAAAACTTCCCTTATTTCTCTCCCCAAATACAGGGACAGTTACTCTTCTACAAGCTGAAATCAATCTGTTCCTCCCAATATCTCCTCTCTCTCAAGATAAATGATAAGCTATGGCTAATGATATAGGTATCAATTACTGAAGGCAATCACCGAAAATAATTATAAAAGGGGGATAGAGACAAACTTTCTTGTTAAATGGCATTAAATGTACCATAACATTGAACTTGAACCTTGCACAACTTTTACAGTGCCTGAGTTTTTAAGATATAAAGATGAGCGAAAGTAACAAGAAAAAAACAAAAACAAGGGCAATGCAGAAAATTAAATTTTGTGTTTCCAAACATATTACCATACAGCTTGAACAGGCAGTAACTGTTCACTGTACAGCAAGTGAAAGCACACCGCAACAAACATGATTCTGATATACATCCCCCCCCCCCCCTTAAATATAAGGACATGTGTCCATGGTTCTTGATTACTCTGTAATGGAACTCGGGGGCATTTTCACTAAAGGACTTGCTCGGGGTGGGGGTGGGGTGGGGAACAGACGGACGACTTTCTCTAAGGCAAGCAATGAAGAATTTGAAATAAAAAAATATATGCTGTGGATGGAATTTTATTTTTTTAAATGTTCAGTCTATGGATTTTTTCCTTAACAAATGATCATGCTTTGTTTTAACACACAAGGTAGGACTGTTTTTTATTTATTTGGTTCATTACAAATTTTATTCTAAGGCTCACATGATCACAAAGTACAATTTAACCTAAGTATCCAAAATATTGTTTTTTGTAATAAGATAGCTATACAAAGGGATTACCTTTAAAACTGCCTGTGATGAACTGAGTCAAAAAATTTTATGTACATTATATATAGTAAATGTTGAATTAAGAGGTCAGTGCTTGATATTTTAACTTACATATAACAATTGTCTCACTTCAGATAGTTTTGGAGAATTAAAGTCTTTGTTTTGAATGCTCCTTTCAAAATCATCATTTGGCACAGTGGGGCTGGGGGGGGGGGGAGCGGGTCAGACCTTAACACAGGTCTCAGAGTCACAACTGAATTATTTTTTAAAGAGTTTGCTGATAAGCAGCAAATCAAGGTGTGGATAGTGAAACTGTAATTACAACAACCCATTCATTAAGAACAGAACACAAAGTCCTGACTTGATCCTAAAGAAATCTGCACAGAGAAGTCTGATTTGCAGTTTATATGAGCAATCAATCCCAAATCCTTTACCACAGTAGGAAGTGAGACCTGGCCCAGCGTCTTCCCGGACCTACTGCGGGGGCAGCGGGACACCGCGGCTCAGGGAAGAGCCTGCAGTAGCTGCACCTTCCTAGGACAGTCATGTTCCCGTCACCGTGTGTTCCTTCTGTCAAATGTTTCCATTTCACTCCTCACAGAACTTAAAAATCACTTAATACATTTATGAAAATGAACTTCAAAAACAGAGAAGGGGGAAAAGAAGAAATGTCTTGTTAATTAGCAATTTTACAGGTTAAGACCTTAGTGAAAGAATCAATTCCAGGTCACTACATACCGTCTTAGTGGCATATAATATAATATAATATATTTAAGCTAAGTACTAAGTAACCCAGATGGGAAAGTGTGTGTGTCAGTGCACATAACATATAAATATGGATCTGTTGGTATTCCTTCTTTTTAAGGTTTTCGTACACTCACAGTATGTGCAACATTACAAGAAAAAATGGATTATCCTATTGACATGTATTTTTCTAAACATTTTATTTGTGTTACACTGAAAGTAGGAAGCTATGAAGAGATGAAATAGAAGGATCTCTTTAAACTGGGGGGCAAAGCTACAGGCAGGCGGGAGCCCACGGCGAGGCTCGCGGGACGGCGCACGCGGCACGCTGCAAGGACGCCAGCGACCACTACCTGCTGTTGTTACTATAAAAGGCAAGACAAGGAAACAAAAATCAGCTTCTTGCTACAAAGCAGTAAGATACTGCTAATAAACTGAGCACCGAAATGTTTCTTTACAAATCCCCTCCCTTTTACACTGCATATATTTTATTATTATATTCAAGCCTTTCAAAACTAGGTGATATCCAAGACTTAAGTCAATTTTTTTGGTACCAAATTACATTTGCTGCTGCATTTAAGAACAGGTTTAAAAAATGTTTTTATAAATTATGTAACATAATCATATACAATCCACATATATAAAAGGGTTGGTTTATTGTAGTTCAAATACATAAACTGAACATTCAAACATCTTAAAATTAAACTTTAGAAACAAAAGTTTAACATTCAAACAGGAGTACAGTTTACAAGGAACACCCAGAAAGGTAATCTGTTGTCTAATCCAGAATATTGATAAAGATCACTTAATGGCGAATGTGTTTAACCAGCAGTTCTATTCTGGCCAACATGTTAGTTATGACCATAGTTCCATACCTGAGAAGAAATTACTACATAAATCTTCTCTTAGGCTAAACAAGACTTGGCCTATAATTCAGAGGGGATAATCAAAGCACATAAGTGAACAAATAAAACTAAAGTGTTCTTTAGAGACAAAGGTAAAAGTATGTCCATTATAATAATCTTAACCTCTGGAAGATAAGAATTCAATTTTCAGTGTTTTCTCTTTTACCCGCTTTAAAAAACAAAATCAAAACAAAACAAACCCCAACTTAGGTTTTCTTGGAGTCTGTGGTATTTGTATCTTGCAAGTTCAAACCACAAATGCTCTTTTGTCTTGCATGTGTAACACTGCTAGAAAGAACGTCACCAAGAGTCACTGACTTCCACATCTCATAAAAGGATGATTTTTAGCTTCAAGGTTTTAGATTTACTAGAGACAGCCTATATTTGAGTATGTATGTCAGTCATGCCACACAAAGAAAAGCATAAATATTTCCCAAGTGTTCTCTGTTCAGCAACTGTTCACGAATGCTTCTCCTTCTGTTCGTCAGATGGTTTTGCAATAGTTTGACTAATGCACATACATGTAAAACACCTGAAAATTGGCTCATGCAAGCATTTTGAATTAATAGATACCCCGTGGAAGAGTATGCAGAATTATTTTGTGGATCGTCGGGTGGGCTCTGACGCCGTGGGAGGTGGGGGTGGACCCCGGCGGTCCAGGTCATCCACGTACGCCACGATCAGTTTACGCCTCTCCTCTGGCACACAGTCTAGTACTAGATACCGTTTGTCGTTCTGCAAAATTTTTTCTACATCTTTCAGGTGCTGATCGGATTCCTGGATTAGCTTTTTGGATCTGAAATAAGAAAAGAATTCCTAGAATTACTGACTGCTGTTCACAGGTCTTTCATATATGAGCTGGAAATGTCCATCTAGTTCCTAATTGTGTTTCCACTTTTTTTTTTAAGAAAAATTTCACTGCAGTGGTCACCTTTGTAAGTCGCCTCAGCAAAGACTCCAAGGAGTGAAAGGGCCTCAGAAGCTGAATTACCCTCCCACCCCTACTGGTGGTCCCTCCAGATCAGGGCTGAGGGTGGGTGGGTAAATCTTGCCCGTGCTGTACCTGTTCTGTGGATGAACAGAGGACTTCAGTCTGCGGGGCTGCCAATCCCAGCATCTTTCACAAGCTTTCACTTTCACATCTTTCACTAAATTAACTACAAAAATGTAGAAAGAAGTCTTACTTCACATCTAATTTAAAAGCCCAAGCTGATGCAAAACATTAAGGATCCTGACCAAAAAATCCAATGACAAAATACCTAAAAACCACACCCTCAGCACTATCTATCCTCCCGTGCACATACCCTTCATTAAAATGCTTCAAATTTCTCTCTTAAAGGAAGAAAAGCTGGAGCGTGAAACAGTGGCTTCCTCACCGATTACTAAGCAATGTCAAACTGTTCTCTGGAGGGGAAATCGTTGGGGCTGGGGGACAACTGGGTATGTTACAGGGAAATCTTGTTTTAAAGCTCTGATTTTATCATTTAAATTTTTTATTTAAAAGTATCCAGCAAACTACTTTCTTCTGAGAAAAAAACAATGTTTTTGCTGAGCTTAGATGATTTAAAAGCTTCAGAATGGTTCAGAAACACTGCACAGTCTTCAGAGGAGGTGAAGGTAATTTAATAGTCCCGTCATGAAACGTAACTCTTAGGTAGTTGGGGCACTCCTGAAAAAGCAGTGAAGTGAAAACAACAGTCTGTTTAAAAAACTGGATGGGTGGGTAACACAAAATAAGAATTGACATCTGGGCCCTTTCTTTAAAAAACAAAAACAAAAAGGAAGGTAGAAATGAGCTGGCTGTCTT